ACTTAAAAGCAAATTCCATACAAAAATTATTTTATCTGTAAACACATTAGCATGTATGACCAACAGATAAGCACAACTCCATCATTACAACTCCATCATTACATCTAAAATAACTACTTATTCCTTAATATAAATCTCATATCTAGTTGTGTTACGATTTTCCCAGTTGTCTCATAAATGTATTTTTATAGCTGATTTATTTGACTCAGGATCCAAATAATGTCCACAAATTATAATTTCTTGTATGTCTCTCAAGTCACTTTAAACCTATTTTATTTTCATGACAATTTGTTGAAGAAACCGGGTCGTGTCTTGCAGAACCCCCAGCATTCTGCACATTGGTTTACATGTTCCCCATCCCTCGCATTTCTGGCAAATGGGGCAGTTAGCACTAGGGACTCCTTAAATGAGAGGAGACTCTCTCAAGGGCAGGGACCCAGCACAGACTGCGTGCTAGGTACTGGAAAACAACCCAATGAATCAATGATTTAGTAAATGCCCCAAAATTGAGGCACTAATGTACCAGCGAGTTCAGTACCCCACCCTCCCTTCCCTTTCCACTGCTCCGGTTCTAAGCAGCGTCCTTCCTGGGGTCCAGGGTATCGTGCTTCCCTCCGAAAATAAGAAAAAGCCTCACTCTACGTTTCCAACTGAGAAAAGGTGTATACGATTCAAAGCGAAAAGTTATAAAAGAACCTAAACATTTAATGTTATGTTCTTCTGTTTGTTTTTTTAAAAAAGTTTAAAAAAAATATATAAAATATAACCATCACATGGGACAGGTGAGCGCTGAGCGGGGGCTCCAGGTGGCATGGGTTTGCAAAAGAACAAACTCATACATCCCAGGAAGGTAGCATTTCATGCCCAAACCACCCAATTGAGAAAATGATGCCATTTGACACTAAAGTCAGTTATATACAGATATTAATTGTATGGTACTAAATAATTTTTCCCTATATTTTTCTATAAAAATTCTAATTTTTTCCTACAAAGAACACTCCTATAGTTTTAAATAAACTAAGGATTTGTCCATCGTAGAATTAATCAAATCAAAAAACTTTGTTTTCCCTGTTCTTCAGGTATAACACCTCTGTTATCTTACAGTCACACGTTAATTTTAGAGAGAAGGACACTGAATCTGCTAAGCCACCGCCTCCTTGAAACTGCAAGAAAGGACAAGGTCAACAATGGGATGGGGTGAGCAAATCCTGTTTGCAGTTGTCTTGCAATGTGCATCACAGGATGGAACCTTCCAGAGAGAGCTGTTCTGGTCATAGGGGCCTGGGACTAAGGTGCTGTGAGCGGGCCACACAGATGGGTGCCAGGTTTGAGCATTCCAGGGACTCAAAGGTTTACTCAGACCCCACCTCTGCTCTAGATCACACCACTGGCCTTTAGGAAACCAGAACAGGACTCTGGTAGGGGATACAATTTTTAGAGCAATTAGATGAAGGTAAAGGGTTACAAAAGACTGGCCAGGACTAGCCCATGACCTTCAGCATTTGAGAAGCCCTGGAGAGTAGAGAACAATCAAGCTCTGGAGAAAAGGGTTGAGAAAGACTTTGTGGGAAGTTGTTGTGTTAATTTTGTAAATTACTGGTAACTGAGAAGCCTCCTACAGAATGCACTGGCTTCTAAGAAACTGTGAGAGAGAAAAAAATCTCCCTGCATTTTTTCCTCTTCCTCTTCTGATGGGTGCTGAATCAACTTGATTTGTTTCTTGCATTTTGGAGTACGGGTGATGCTCATACACGTATTATAGTATTCCACACACGTATTCCACAAAAGTCCACAAAATGAGGAACGAAAAGGGAGTTGAGTAAATTCAATGTTCCCATTTAAAATAAGTAACAGTTATAAAAAATTAACTTATAAAGATCAAATCCATGATTATACCAATTGACTAGAAATTTTCATATCACTAAGTTTTTAAAGGCTATTTAGCTGCTTTTGAGGATTCCTAGAACGCTGAAACTGTGTTCACCACATTTGCCCCAAATGCCAGATCCTTTCATAATTCTGAGCCCTTACGTCTACTATTTCTTCCCCCGGAGTGGGAACAGCTTTACCCCTGCAGCTTCCAATGCCAAATCCAACCTGTCTTTCAGGGATGAGCGCAAATGTTCCCTCTCCTGGAGAATTCTACAGGAATGCCCTCAACTCCTGTAGAAATCCCTCTTTTATAATAATAAACTCTCCATTTACTTGGCTATCTAGACAGGAAGAGCCTCCAGCAAGGGACCTTCACATGCTGGTGTCCCTATGGCTTGGCACGTGGCAAGCTCTCCATAGAATGACTCCTATCTGACATTTATCATCCAATAAACTCACTTTTGTAATTATATCTGTAAGATCTGTTGCAATTGTGCAAAACCCTACAGCATCCAGTGCTGTAGGGCCCAGAATGCTCTTCTCCCAAATTTTAATCCAAGAGACCCCCGAAAATCCCTTCCACAACTGTGCCCGACCCAGCCCACAAGTATCAACATGGAGCCTTAAATACAGATAATAATGGATCTATGCCGAAACCAAAGGATGGTTCTGTTTACGAACCATATTTCTTAATTTTACTGCTATAAACTTATTTTTCTTGAGTAGTTCGTTTGTTGAATAAATTAACCATGAGCTAATGGGAGGGACTGAATCAAAGAGTACTTCTACATTCTAAAGCTCAAAAACATACATATGACTTCCTATGGCAGCAACCCAATTAATGCCATCCATAAAGCCATTCAAATACTGTGCCTGGGCTGAAATCCAATTAAGTCATTTCTGTCTGAATATCCCCAAAGAGCCTCCTGCTGAGCTCAAAGTGGAAATAATCATAAATGCCAGATTAGCTGTGTAAGCACTTCCAAAGCCGAAACCAGACAAGAGCATGAAAATCAACATGTCCAGCCTTTTAGCCAGGCACAAAAAGAAAAAAAGAGAAAGAAGAAACATTTCAATGACCATCTGGCAGGAAGTCAAACCCATTTCCTTGTCCAGCTAGGTCTTCTCAGATAATCCTCACCCAGTGGAAGCGTCAAAGAAAAGGTCTGAATCATTTACACACATTACAAAATGAAAAACTGTGGCTCCACAATGCAATTTTGTGTGCAGAGCTAAGAGTCAGGGGGAGATTTCAAGCTTTCTCTGAATTCACCATTTCACTCAACCAACGCCTTATAGAGTACACCTTCAAATTTGTAAACCCTGAAATTCACGACTTACATAAGTTGTCCCCTAAAAATGTGCAAGCAAAGCCAAAACCTCACAGAGAGGCTGAGAAGAGGACAGATTCAGCAAATGAGTTGAATTTCTCCTTCCCCTTGCAACCCATTAGTCAGATTTACAACTCAGCAAAATACAGAGTATCTTCAGGTTATGTCCAATAGCTGGACACGTGAGTGTTCTAACCATGCGTTCCAGAAACGAAAAGGGCCCTGGCTTGCCTATTCGTTCCAACCTGAGACCCACTGAACTAGAACATCTGTGGTTTGTGAAAGGTCCCAGATGGTTCCAGTGCCAGCCCCAGGTGAGAACCACTATTGTAAAGAAAAGAAAAGAAATTGTGAGGAAAGGCCCACTCGAGAGACCCTTATGCTCTACACCTTCAATATTCAAATATAAGGGTTGTTTGAAAGAAGAGTAACAGATAATGAAGTTGGCCCTGCCTCTGCATGTGACGTAAAGGACAGAAGGACTTTGTTTTAAACTGGATGCAAGTCCCACCTCTTCATCTTCCTCGCTATATGATGTTGAGGCTGCTACTTAACCTCAGAGCCTAGGTTTCCTTGGAGACAGTATCAGTCACCCTGTTGGCAGAATAAAATGAATGTCACATTTACTCAATGGAAATGTGTGACACATTATAATGTGCAAACACTGTGCCTAAATAAGGCACACCACAGATGGTGTCCTTCTCAAGGAACCCAATCTAATGGGGGATCAGGGTCAAATATGAGATGACACAGCAATGCTGCTTTATTTTTTCGGCTACAAGAAAACTCACCTATTAAAAAAAAAAGTCACCTAAACTTTTCTAGGTAACTTCTAAAACATATGTGTGCTCTCCAAAATATCTAATATCTGCCTTAGAGAAAGCAACCTGACTATATATATTAACATAATGGTTTTAGACAAAGAATAATTTCTGATGGAATGGAAATAAGTAGATCTAATCTCGCTTTCCTAAGACTAAACTTCCAACAGTTAGGGAAACCTCATTTTCCCCAGGGAAAGGTTTCCTCACTTGAAAACTGATAAGGTTTCCTCAACCTCACCATCCTAATACTCTTCTAGATAGACTTCTAGGTAAGTCATCCAACAAGTATATTTGGAATCCCTACCAGCACTGTGCTGGGTGCTGGTCACATAATACACAAGGCAGCTTGTGCTTTGCCCCAGGAAGCAGACAAAACAGACAACTGGATGGTAGGGGCCCAACGGGATCATCATCCATCACCTCTGTATGTGACACCTGGAAACAGACAGGGATGTCCACGGCAGAAAATGCAAACGCTGATACTAAACGCACATTCATGAGGTCTAAAACTGCCTCACCTTTTAGGCAGCAGCACACCTGCACGTGTGGACCCAGCCTCTCATATTATATCTGGGCAGGTGACTTCTGAGTGGAAGTGGAGGACATGGGCACCTCACTGATCCCTCTGTCCCACTTCATTATGCCAGTTTCAGAGCATCCTTCCACTTCTCAAGCGTTCTAAGTTCTGATTCAGTCATGGATGAACCCTATCATTCCACCCACTCACCATCTGCGAACCTGATATGCAGGTTTCCAGATTTTCATCCAAGTTGCTGTACAAATCATGGCCAAGGGCAGTAGGCATCTGACACCTTCCTCAGGAAGGATCAAACTGGCAGAATGGTGGGCATGGCCATCCAACCAGCCCACCCACTCAGCAGTTCATCAAGCGAGCCGACCACTCTGTGGGCATGGCCGTCCAACTAGCCCCACCCACACAGCAGTGCTGTAGGCAGGGAAATGGGCCTGTTACCTGATTTAGTGCACAGTACTGGCTTTGGAACGACATGCCAGCTCCACCCCTTATTAGCTCTGTCTTTCAGCAAGACGGTTTACCATCACTGAAGTTGTTCTCTCACCTGCAAAATGGAGGATAAAGAGAAAAGGATTACTTTGCAGATGTGCTGTTCCCACTAAATAGCATAAAAGGCACCCAGCAAAGTTCCAAATACGTAATAGGTGCTCAAAGAAAACACAACTTTGTTCCCTCAACTAGCCTCTCGTTATATAGAGGGAGTGAGCTGAGGGCCACCCTGCCGCTAAACACCCAACCTGCCAGGGAAGACCAAGAACAATCCAGCTCTCACCACACAGTAGATAAGAAGCCCACTGAGAGGTGAGAAGACAAGGCGGTAGAGGTCAGAAATGTCCCTTCCTTCCATTTGGCACTGGCATTCAACTATCTTTCCTCTGTGCCTTGGGCCACGTACCCTGTCCTCAGAGCCAGCACAGCACAAAGGTGTCTGCGTGCCCTGCCCCAGCTTTTCTTTCTGTCAATGTAGTACACTGTTTTTTGTGTAAACAGACTATGAAAGCAAAAGACAAAACTGTCTCACAACTAGGTGTGGTGTGTACAAGATGATGTGGGGACAAAGGAAAGCAAGTCAAGTGAGCTGGTCAATGGATAGGTTTGAGGGTGGGGGCGGGGATCCCATACAACACGGTGAGAGCAGATAACGACAGACTCATCGCCAAAGGGACAGTGGTCATTCTAAAGAATGACGGGTCACAGGGAGGGCCCAAGAAGAGAATGTCCATTAACGCTATGTGCTTAAGGGACACATTCGTAAGTGGTCCGACCTTCTGCAGACGCCCTGCTGAAATCAAGCCCCGCTGCATGGTGACATGCTCGATGCCCCCAGCTCTCATCGCCATTTAGTGATCTGTTTAACAGTCTCTTTCCTGATTCTGCTTTTTACTCCATTTAGAAAATTAAAACATTTGCCCATCTCCAATCTCCTGGCACTTCTCCTCTCCTTCAAGGCCACTCAAAGAATATCAACAGGGATTCCGCCACCCACCTGGGAATGCTCATAACTCATCTGAACCTTCAGCTTTGAATGTAAAGTAAAAAGCTACTCTCCCACTCATTTTTCTCCCACTTCAGCTTCAATTCCTTCTTGTTGACATTTGTTCTATATGCTCTATTTCGAAGATTATTCTTTTTGACAAAATCAGCAACAAAACAAAATGAAATGAAAAAAACCAACCCAGATGTATGGTGACAAAAGTCACTTCTGCTCCTGCAACTGGTCATACCTGACTCCAGGCACCAAGCCTATGCTCCATCTCTATGGTCCATCTCTCGCACCAAAACACACCAAAACCAGAAAGCACAGTTTTTTTTCTCAGACCTCAGAATGTTGAGGCCAATCTCACCTCACCTGAGCTTCAGCCTTCTACGTGCTACTGACACACATACAAGCCACGCTTATTTAATCCTAAATTATAGCCTATTTCCCTTTACCTTCCACATGCAAGTTCAGGGACTCTATGCCTCAGAGTTTCATGTACTAAAGAGGAAAGGAAACACACCTATGAAATAGCAATCATTTAGTCAGCATTCACAGGGTGCCACAGACTAGGTAAGCACTTTTCATGTGTTGTCACCGTCAGTCCTAACACCAGGATGACGCTTCATTATCCCCATTCACAGCAGAGAAGTTGGGGAATGCCCATAGGTGGCTTTGGTAACCACAGGTACAAGAAACATTTGGATCCTTCCAACTTGGGAGCCCTTGGCCTTTACCTTGTGCGTGCTGCCCTTCGTGCCGGAGACGGGGAGCCAGAGGGCACAGTGCAGCCAGCTGAACAACTGCACTGACCCTTCCTTCCAAAGGAGCTTAGGGGGAAACTGGCAATGGTCTCCGTCAAACACCGGTGAAGAGAGGCTTAACCACGTGATGTGAGCACAGACACTGTTTCCAAATCATACAGATTTCCTAAGGACCAGAGGCTAAACTGACTACAGAAAATTGTTCAGGGAATTCTAAGATACTTTCCAAAATGTATTGGTTCCCCCCCACACTCCCTTTAAAAAAAGTCACTATTTTCAATCAAATTCCCCACCAGGCATCCTTAACCTGCCTTTTGCAACCAAGAACACAGCTGGGAAGATGGCAGAAGGGCAGCCCAGGTAAGGACCATCAAAATGACTTCTTGCAACAAATATATTTTACCCACATTTGGACTTACGATGGATGGAACCATCCACCTTCCACCCCATGCATGAACACTCAGTGACCTTTGGGCCTCTACTGTTTCATTTACTCACACACATAAGCCCAGTAATTAGTTTTTAAATAGACTCTGACATACTACTATTTTGTTTTGTTTGTTTACTTTAAAATAATAGTAAGTTTTCAAAGAACCATCTGTTCAAGTATGGTATGGCATATAATGGGACTGACTAATGAAACCTTAGGATACAGGAACATAGACCTATATGAATCTGGGAATTTAGTATACAATGAAAGGCGGTAGCTCAAGTCACTGGGGAAAAGACAAAACCTCTTAATAAATGGTGATGGGATACGTTGGTAACCATCTGGAAGAAAGAGCCATGCTCCACATCCTACAAAAGGATAAATGCATCTAAGATTTATGGTGAAAAAATTAAAGTATAGAAAGACATATGGCCTTGAAGAACCTTTTAAATCTATGACTAAAAATCCAGAAATCACAAAAGTCAAATGAATTCCGTTACAGATATATAAAAACTCTTTTACATGACAAAAGATACCCCAGGCAAATTTGAAAGACAAATTAAAAGTTAGGAAAAAATATCTGTAATTGGAAACACAAAGGGCTACTCTTCCTGATACAATGAGAGCTCTTTAAAATTGATCAGAAGACGAGACCAGTAAATCAAGAAAACAATGAGCAAAGGAAAATGGAAAAGAAAATACCTGGCTTTCCAATATATGAAAAGTTGCTGGACTTCACTCATAAGAAAATAAACATAAACTAAAATCACATTAAGCCATCACCTCTCACCCATCAGATGATCAGAGATCAGAAAGTGTGATATCGGGCCGGCTGAGTGGAGCGTTGGTTAAGAGCCGGCTTGGGACGCCAGCTCTGTGCAGCAGGGCCCCGGTTCAGATCCCACATGAGGGTCAGTGATACTGCCCTCTATAGCTAAGATGGTGAGCAGCAGCTCGACCTGGAGCGGGGCTGCCGTGAGTCGCCGGTGACGGGGTAGGCTGCAGTGCCTTCTGCAGTGGGCTGCCGTAAGCTACCCTGTGGGGCTGGCAGCTGGTGTGAGCTGCCAAGAGCTGCCGTGAGCGGCGGTCCAGAGGCCGGTGACCGATCTGCCTCACCCTGAAAGAGCGCAATGATAATACCAACATGGGCCAGTGAAGAGACGTTCTCCACAACTAGACTGAAGTACAAAAGGACAGCAACTTGTCTGTTCCCCTTCTCCCTATTCCCCAGCACTGTTCCCCTCCCGCAATTCCCCAATAAAATCTTTAAAAAAAAAAAGTGTGATATCAATATTAATTTCCTTGTTTGATCATTGTAATGTGGTTAGTAAGAGGTTATCATTTGAGGAAGCTACATAAAAGGTGTAGAGAAATCCTGCAATATTTTTGCAACTTTTTGTAAGCCAAAATTGGTTTGACAAGTAAACATTAAAAAATTAACAAAAAAATCTTAAGTGTGATACAGGGCTGGTGGGGGTGGTGGGGAAGCAGATCCTCTCTGGTCATGAAAGTGCAAGATTGCCCAGCTCTCCAGAGAGCAATTTGGTAGGACATCAAAATGGAAACACCCTAAATGTCCATCAAAAGGTAAAAAACTAAATAAATTACATCTCTATACCAAAGTATTCACTTGTTAAGATAGGAGAAATGTCTCTAAGCTCTAAATAGGAACGATTTCAAAACATATGGTTAACTCAGAAAAATAAGGTCAGAACACTTCAGATTGAAAGTAATGTGATCTATGAAGACATTTAACTAACTCCTTAGCTGCCTAGTTAAGCTGCCTCCAAGTACATACATATCCATAGTGTATCCTCACTGAGATTCATCCCCACACGAAGTTAATTATCAGTTCACAACAGGCTCCTCTGTTTCAATAATCCACAAAAACATGCTTTTAATCCAAGCACACAGAGCTTTGTGGAACCTCACTCTTCATATGTGATGATATAAAGACAAAAGCATTTCACCATATAATTCACATACTGTAAAAATTTACCAATTAAAGTGTACAATTCAGTGGTTTTACTTATTTTTTAAAAAAATAAGTAATGGAGAGATCTCTTCATATTATAGGAAAAAGGGAGAAAAGAAGAAGAAAACAAAATGATTCGAGTGACCCAGTACCGAGATGTTTCCGGAACACTCTGGATGTGCACACAAGAAACCATGAGCCTTGCCTCTGGTGACACCACTTGGGTCCCTGGAACAGGAGAAAGGCGTCCCTGGATGTTTGGTTTCAGCTGCCTTTTTAGGAAAACTATGTGTTACTCTTGCTAATAAAATTTTTTTTCAACAAAATAATAATACATAGAAGAAAAATCTTACAAGAGGCTAACCTTAACCCAGGATATTAAACTTTACACATACTTATGTTCAAAACCACATCTTCTGCAGGTAGGAGATCATTTAATACTGGCTCTGAAATAGATGGATCACAACCGTAAATTAATGCAAATGTAGTTAAAATTTTGTTCTCCTAGGAAATCAACTGAATGAGACTAATCTAGCTAGTCCTCCTAACAGTCAGACCTTACTCAGGATGATTAAATTGCCTGAAAATCTGCAGTTAGCACCAGTAGCTTCAGAAACTTAAACCATAAGTTCATGAGTCCACACCAAATGGATGAAAGAGTTTTTCAGTGCCAAATTTACACACTGGTTTTCTTTTCCAGAAGCATCCTGTTTCTACAGGAAGGCAGAAGCTGATGGGATTCTGCATTTAAGGTGCTTTGTTTTCACTGACGTTGGGTACCAAAGCCTTGGCCCCCCGTTCCCTGAGCCTAACTATGGCAGTCCCACAGGGATCCCAACTTGGTGGTCAGCAGTGGCTGCAAATTCAGTGACTTCTCACTTCCCTGTGAGTGCATGCC